TACAGGCCTCTGGCATACATGTACAGTCGTTGGCGGTAAACTACAAATTGTATCGGTGAAATGAAACGCTTCAAGTGCTTGTTTCAATAAATACCCTTAATTTATTGCAAAGGGATTGAATTTAAATTTTAAAAATGTCCCCTATGTCAACTTTAATATGAAAACCTATTTATAGCCATAACAGAATCAGGTTTTACCTTACAATGACCATTGTACTTTGTTTTGTTTATTTTTTTCTTAAAAAAACTTCGGTAAACAGTTTTATCTGAAAAGCATCTCAACAAACTGAAGCTGCAAGTTAATTCGCCTATTCATCATAAATGAATTGACCTTGAAGTGTGCTTGAAGTTCCAGTCAGTTAATGCTGTCGTTGTCAGTTAGGGAGATTTTTTAGCAGAGGTAATATTGCCACAATAACAGATAACTGGATAACCAAGAATTACGTCCACAGACAGAAAACAGTTCCGATGTTAGAAAAGGGGAACTGAGTGGAAACTTTTCCGATATAAAAATGATTAATTTTCTGTAGGTGTGTCTGAGATAATATCAACATTAAGCCTGATCGCGAACAGATGCTTTAGATTTGTCCTTACTAGAGTGAGTGGGTTATGTTAAACGTCGTTAAGAATGAGAGTTTAAGTTATATCACAGCTTTTCAGCTGCCTGCAATGGCGTAGGTAATGAAATCCTCTATTTCATGTATCCCACAAGCACGGGTATGGTGGTTAACGGGATATTTCCGCCTGAAGTCATAGCTTTCCTCAGTTGACATCATGTGTGTTTGCCCTATGAAGATGTCTACACTGACTGACGACTGTGGTCATATATATGACTGCATACTGGATTGAAAATACCGTCTGAATAAGTGCTGGTTGAGACTGATTGGTCCATAACCTTAAGAGAATGGAAACAGAATACAGATTAAGAAATGTCTAGCCTGTTGTTCCCAAGCATCTCCCAATAGTATTGCCTGGAACATTTAAGGGCGCCACGTCTGTATTCTCGCATAGATCACACCACTCTATTCGTTTTGACATTTCAATAACATTTCTGCCATTTCAAAAGTTTTACTTTTCTTAAACGCAATGTCGTTTTGTGGTACTCGGATGCCAATTATACATTTTCGTGTCACTTCTAACTTAATACGTTGAGTAATCGTAACGATAAACAAAAAACAAAGTATAAAATATCACCCAACCTTATTACAAAAGGTGACGAAATGCATAATGTCAGCTCGCCCGTAAATAATGATAAACTATAGTAATGTTAACGTGTAATTTTAAATGGTTCATCTGATTTATTGAAGCTGATTTTTCACATGTTCCTGGGATGTTTATTGCAAACCGAGTTGTGGATGCATCAATAAGTAGGTCACTGACTTCCCTGCTCACGTTATTCGATCTACACGTGAAAAAAATGAGAACAAATTCGTCGGCTTGAACTAATTTTGCAACCTAGATTGGATCCACAAATCAAATCTACATCAAGCGCAGCGATCCAAATTATAGGCCGTAGTTATTTCCAGCCGAACGATGACTTATTGATCTGGACCTTACCACTGGGTGTCAATCAGAATTATATCTTGTATCTAATTTTCATGTTATCTAATTCAGGTAACAGTTCTTGGACGTATTTCTCGTGAAAGTGAAGCTCTTCACTAAGTGTCGCCTGAGGTAATGCGATATCCAGAGTCTTCGACGCGTCAGGATTCGATTATCGCAGGTTCGAATCCCAAATTCACCCTGACCATGAATCTCGGTTTATCAGGCTATGCCCGAACTCGTTACACTGCTATACTGGGTCTCAGTATAGCAGTGTAACGAATAATACTGAGCCTAAGTTTACTTAGACTGGTAGTAAACTGTAATTGTCTAAAACCTGCATAACTTCAGATTTAGAATAGGACGATGTAAAATATACCCCACTCACTCACTCACTTGATTCATTATGTATGTTACAATATTCAGGATCGTCCACCTAAAATCGTGGACGGCGCAATGCAAGGGAAGCTACTCTAATATTTCGTTGTAAAAGTGTAACCCACTACAAACTGAAAACCTTGAATAAAGATTACATTACTGGAATTTGCAAATCATAACTGAAATTAATGACAGTTACTAACGACAATAATGACAAAACATTGTTGGTCTCAGATGTATAACAAGTATTTGTTCGAATTCAGATATTAAGAACATAACTACAAAAACAGTCAGACAGTTCAGGTCGATTCGGGGAGGCGGCCGTAAAATCACTCCGACACGGCGAGCTGTTTAATACGTTCAACCTCACTATGAGCGTGCGTAAGGGCGAGATTGCGCATGTACATGTTGGCTGATGCCGCACTTAGCAATGTTCTAGCCATATGACAGGAGTCTGTAAGTAAGGGGGGTACGACGTGACAATCTGGTGATTGTATCGACCGACGTCGACGTGGCACGATGACAAATTTTAATGGGTCACGGACCACTCGATCCATTACGTCGTTTCTTATTAGCAGCACAGGTTACCCCGACTCCCCATGGGACAAGTGAGTGGTTATCTAGTGACTGGGTAGGTGGGGGAAGGGGCAGTTTTAACAGTATTACTGTTATCTCGCTACAATATGGATCCCACTTCCCGTGGTAATGGAGTCAACTGACTATAAAAATCGAATTCCCACACTGCCGAACTGGGCAGAAAGTTCTGCTAATTAAAATCTTCAAACGTAAATCGCATCCGGTTCATAAAAGACAGTGCTAGAGTGTATTTCATGTATGGTTTGGGTTCTGAATCAAGCATAAACGTGTTTTGAAATTTGTAGAAACTTGAATAGCCGGTATTGCAAGAATTCTAAGGTTCTGGAGTTTGGGTTAGAAAGAAATCTGAAACTCTCGAACTAATGACCAAGGCCAGACCCTGGCTCCTGGCAGAACGAAATCTAAATTCGAACCAATGAGGCGCGACTTTTTTACAGCAAGAAACCATTTGGTCAGTTGGTGCATACTTAACCTGTATTTTCCAAACAGATAAAGGTAAAGAAATAATACCGAATGCTATATGTATTTTCTGTAGGTGGGGTTTAGGTTCAAACTGACGAAACCATTTAAAGAAAAGGAATTCATATGATGTGAATAAACTCCAGCAGCTCTTGAAAATACACAGGATCAGGAATTCATCATTTGTAGTTTATCATCCAAACATGGCTCCCACAGTAGGCATCGCTTGTGTCAGATCAAATATCGCAAAAATTGAACTGTCATAATGCTATTACATCATCAGTAAATGACCTCACCATGCTGTGACATCACAGCTGACAATGCTATGACGTCACAAAGTTGATGACATCACAATGCTATGATGTCATTAAAGCTGATGACGTCATAATGCTATGACCTCACTGAGATCACTTCTCAAGAAGCCTTATGTCAGTTTTGTGTTCAGATATAGAGGATATTATATGATAGTATGAAAAATATGAACCCCGATATGTTCGCCCTCGTAGGTAATAAAAAATAATTCTTTTACTTTAACTGATGAAGAATGATTTTGGTTGATAAGTAAAATCTCACCCTCGTGTCTACCGATAATGAATACATTTGATATCAGAAGACACGAGGGTGAGATTCTATATGCGTTCATATATTACTTTTTTAGATAGAAACAAGTAATTTCATTTAATTCGCAAAGGAACCCCTTTGAGGTGAGAGATTCAGGCGCTGAGGAAACCTAGACTTGCTTCAGCAATGCAGAAAGGATTGGGCGGAAGGGGAAATAATGTGGTTCAGGGACTGTGGAACAGACTGCCATACATTCGGTATAACTCAATATGAAGGCCATGTTTCCTTATATAGCAATACATGACATACGCTGACATATGCCTATCGATACGGCTTTGCCTTTGGATTATCTAACAATAGTATATTAAGTGGATACTGGGGGCTTTCACACGTGAAGATTTAATTTCAGCTTGTGTGTCGTTTTCTTTGTAGTGAGCCGTAAAGGTTGCTTGTCAACATGTGAGTGACCTTACCCCCTCGACGTTAGCGGAACAAATAGCCAACAAATTGAACCCGGTGTGGATAATGATTTGTCTGGTTGGGCACTGCGAGGCGGCCTGAATATGTGTGGCTCGTGACCGGGGTCTCAGGTTACTAGTTTCATTTACTGTTTTGTAAAGGCAAATAGACCTTTACAATGGAATATTAATCAACAAAACAAAGTGATAAAGTGATTGAACGCGTGAGTAAGTGAATGGATAAATGAATGATGTTAGCGTTTGCGTGTATTTGTTGATGGATTAATGAATGAAGTTAACGAATGAATGAGTCAATACGAAAAAGTAATTAAATGAATGCATATATGGAATACGTCAATAGATAATATACAATTCACTTTGCTAATTTATGAGTAATAATAATATGATAATACCAACATGCAAATTGACTCATGTTGTTACCACTAGATCAATCAAAACAGAAACGCTTAAGTGAGTGAATGAAAGAATAAAGAAACAAATAAACAGAACAAATAAAGAATGGAATATTCAGGCCTCAACCTCACCGCTATCACTGACATTATGAGGTGGGTGTGAGAGCCTTCAAGCCCCCCTAAACAGTTTGGGTTGTTACTCCCCAGGGAGTTGAGAATGATTATTACAAATTGTAAGGATCTAATGGTCGGGGAACTACTAAACCGCATAACGTTTTGCGATATATAATCCAAATAAAAATAATAATAGCAACAACGTGATCATTATCGTCAATATTATTTTTTAAATTATTATTATCATTATTATCTTCACCATTAACTAATTATTTCGCTTCATATATTCATCGTAGCAATATGACAACAGCAACATTATATCATATATATTCAGAGACGAATGTCGTGTCCTCCTGTTGTGTAAATAAGACTGCATTATAGATTGGGCCCACCACTCAGAATGTTTTTTGTTGCAAACTGATAGCGGCAGCTGTCTATACAGGTATTGCTATCAGTAAGTAGATCGTAGGTACAGACAGCGGTGATTTTGACTTTGTGTAAACAGCTCCCGAAACTCGATCGGTCCCACCGGTTCGATTTCAGCTGATTTCGCTGACAACTAGATGTACACACCAACTGCTACCCGACCCTCTCAGGTGAAGGTACCCCACTCACTGTCGCTTATCTGGGGGTAATCTTCTCCCGTCAGCGGCGCTACCGCATATCGGCGGGCAAGGGAGATTAGCTCCGTTGCTAGGTCGCGTTAGTCTTCGCACGAGTAGAGCTGGAGAATATCGAAGCACGGTGAACGGTGTCAATGGTTTTAGTCAACTGAAATTTCAGGATGGTGTGTTACACACTGACGGATGGGGGAAGGACCTGTTTGTAATGGGACCCAGGTGTGTTTGAGAGGGGGACAGATTCAAGATGTCGTTGTACGGAGGAGAATCCGCCGTGGAGGGACGTCCCTACACTCTCGGGACGTTTCAGCACAAACTCAACAAGTTTGAGGATTTAATCAAGGATATGACATACCAGGGGGCAGAGGCTACACCCGAGGAGCGCCGACAGATGATTGCAGGTAGAGCATGTTGGTTGTATACTGGGGGTGGGGTGTATGGGTGGGGTGACCGTGGGGGTGATTATACTTTTAGGCTCAGGTCTACAAGAACACCTCTGAATATAAACTTGAGTGGGTATTGTGTATGTTATGTAATGAACTTTTTTTACTTATAACGATTCACAATTTTTCTTTAACGGTTAACTGTTAATCTGATAGCGGTTTGGTGGATATAAGGAAACGGATTTTTCAGATTAAAAAAAATAATCTTAAACTGTGCACATATAAGAACATGCAAATATGGATTTTAGGAGAAATACTCATTTATATATATATACCAATATTTTATTCAAGAATTATGTTTGTTGTGTCACCCTTGAGTGAACCTTACATGAAATAATGGATTTCATATGGATATTATGTCTTTTTTACATTGAACAATGGTTGTCTAAGTACACCCTGCATATTCCAAGTTTCATTATGCTGTACAAGCCTGTATTAATGAAACATGATACACATATACATCTCATAACATGTTATCGTACAAGTTTACACCCTGTTGCTTCCTGGGTGAGTATGCATCGCATGGGACTTCTGTTATTTAAAAATAGTCAAGACTACTTTGAATTGCTTCAAAATTAAACGTATTGTAATTATATAAGTTTATTCGTATTTCCCATGTGCCCTTCAGCCGCTTTGTACCCATGACTAAGAAACACGTACATATAGGCTTAATATTAAATAGCTGCGTTTGATCCGATCAATCATTGATTGAATAAGCGGTAAACGATACCTTTACCGTGGCCGTTCCGAAATCGACCAGTGTTAGGCGATTACAGTAATTCAGCTTAGGAGCTGATGCGTTTTGCGAAAACACAAAACACTTCCTATTATTTTTTCCCATACTTGGAGGTTTTGTCTCCAATTCAGTATTTATTTAAAACCAAACATGGTCATGTACACAAATGTGCAAAACACGTTGCATGATGATGATGGTGTTGTTGATGATGATGATGATGATGTTGTTGATGATGATGCATAGCAGGTGTATGTTGAATATCGTTAAGTGACAAACTGTGACACGAAAACTGTGTGTTTGTTGTAGCACTCGGAAATATTTCAACTATATGACTTTAATGATATGTTATTACTCGAGTCTGGACCAGACAATCCAGTGACTGACATCATGAGCATCGACTTCGCAGTTAGAATGCGATTCCACGTGCCAACCAAGTCGGGGCTCCTAACCCCCTGATTGAGTGTTCTGACTAGGGCTCCAAGCACGGACCGCTGAAAACCCATTCCACACCAGATTTTGGCGAGGGAACCTGGAATAGACTCGGGATAAGAAGTTGGCATTTCTCGAGCGAGAGCGAGGGATATACCGATATGTAGGCACGAGTGTCGTAAACATAGTATGATATGGGCACGAATATAATATTCTGTAAATTACAGAAGTTGTCAAATTGAGGAAAATAAACCCAAATCTACTTTCAAACATAGGTTGGCTACCCGCCATCGCCGCATGTAGAACGCAACGTCACAGAAGAAACGTGACGTCATAGCATTGTTCATGACGTCACGTTACCATGACAAAGTGATATTTTGTCCTAGGGCATCGTATGAAAAATATGAACCCCGATATGTTCGCCCTCGTAAAAAATAATTCTTTTACTTTAACTGATGAAGAATGATTTTGGTTGATAAGTAAATCTCACCCTCGTGTCTACTGATAATGAATACATCAACACCCGTTGATTTAAGTAACTTTAATCAACGAGTGTTGGTTGATACATTTGATATCAGAAGACACGAGGGTGAGATTCTATATGCGTTCATATATTAACCATCAGGTGCATGCACAACAGAAGGACATGATGGACGCTGTTCCGCTTATGTGATTGTTACTCTTATGTTTTATACAAGTGACGGGTGACCCTGTTATCTACGGCGCAAGGTGTGCAAGAAACGTTTGTTCGAATCCCAAATTCCTCCTGATGATGTTTTCGGTATTTGTCAGCCACATACCAGTTTCTCTGAAATGGTAAACATTTAGACTTTTATCTGAGACTTGTATCGCAATCCAGTGATTCACATCTTGAACAACGATCTACCCAATAGGGATACGATGGCATGCATCGAACCTCAAACCTCAAACATGCAGGTTGGTTGGTTTGTTGTTTTACGCCGCACTCACCAATATTCCAGCTACATGGAGGCGGTCTGTAAATATTGAGTTTGGACCTGACAATCCAGTGATCAACAGCATGAGTATCAATGTACGCAATTGGAAAGTGTCAACCCAGAAGCCTGACCAACAGATCCCGTTAGTCGCCTCTTACGACAAGCATGGGTTGCTGAAGACCGATTCTAACCCGGATCTTCACAGGTCTCAAGCATGCTGGTCTCAAACTTTTACCACTTTGGTGAAAGCCGAGCACAGGTATGGAGCTGCCATACCTGGAAACACTGTCAGAAAGCATAGAAGAGTAAATGACACTAGCGTTGTGACCCCCCTGAAAACAAAGGATCGCGCTGACAGTCCAAACGTTTGCAGTGCTTGTGGGTTCAAATGTTCACAAACCTGTTGACTTCAACATATTGACAGGAGCAGCTACCAGTATTCTGAAAATATGATCAGTGACAGATAAGAGAAGGTGCACAATTGCAGCCCTCGCAAATATTTTAAAATACTTTGTTGTTTTTGTGATCCTTTTCCAAAGAATATTGAACCTATTTCTTTAGTCTTTCTTTATATGAATCAGACCATGTGAATTACCACTGCCCTCATTTGGTTACGCAATCGTTTAATGCCAAAAGTGGGATGTATCGAAAATCGAACATTTTAGTTAAAGATGAGTAATCACAGTATCACAGTGCTGAAAAGGTTTTAGTGGCGGATGGTCAGGTTTCGGAAAGGGTTGGTCTCATGGCCGAATCGTTCAAATCATGTTTCGCTTCACACCTTTAATCAACATTATAGACGACTGAGAAAGCCAGTGATTAGTGGTCCTGCGCTCGAGAAGCTTGTAACTGGTTCGAATCCCACCACTGACTTAGGAAAGTCGCTTTGGTGGAATTGATGGATTGGTCGCACGGACCCGCAAAGATTCTGACCCCTTACTGCCCACAACATGTTAAACCAAACACCTATTCTTGTCCGGTGTCGACTGTTTACGAATCTCAACTTCCAGGTATTCACATACACTGGCACCCATGTTGATATCGACGCTGAACGTTCCAGGCAGCGATCTCAACATGTGGTCACTTTCCAACGGGATCTACCAAGGACAATTTTGTCTTTAATCATCCTGACCTGTCTACAGGCATTGATTCCTCGTTAGCTGATATTTACAGGACAACGATTCCCCAGCGTGGTGGATGGAGTGTGCTTCCTGTCTCACATAACCCCTGTCAATGTATTGATTAACGATCTGATCACACATATACTGCTCGACATGTGTAAGGGATATAGAGGCAGTGTAGCCTCATTGTTGGTGCAGTTGATGTGGATTAAGCATTGGTTTGATTTTATACACGGAGACTCAATATGTTGTTGATCACAGTTTCAGAACACGCAGTTTGTTTTAACAACTTTACCAGAACATCCGATATATCCATCAAACAATGGTCTTTCTTGGTTTGACCTAATGAAAAGGTATAAATCATTTTCCCACTATTTTCTTAAGCACACAGGAAATCCCTAATCCCCAACACCATGAACAGCAAAAGGTTTCTCCCCGAATGTATGGTGAGTGGTTTTGAGCCGCTTTTGGCAAGATGTTCTGGAGACATCAGAAGATGGCCTCATACCTTATATACTCATGCAAATAATGGTTGTCACCCTCCCCACCCCAACCCCACACACTCAACCCCCCACCCTCTCCAATTAAAAAAATTGAAGGGTGTGACAACCATTATTTGCATGAGTATATTTGGCGTGACAAGCTAACAACCCTGACCGATCGCCCTTTGTAATAAGAAACGCCACAGATCATTTCACCCTCATACTTTGGCACAGGCTCTGAAATAACTATATAAAAAATGTCTCACGCATGTCTCCAGTATACATTTAAGTTTACATTCATCTGTTTGGAGACATTCTGGGGACAATCACTCACTGCTGAAGACCATTATGCAAGGTACTAGTATTCCAGATACCCCAAACTCGACTTTACTCAGTTCTCCAACAGAACGCGTTGAACCGCCATCCCTACCAATCGTTGAGCAGTATAGAACGGAAATTACTTCGTCCACATTGATTATTCACAGAAAAGAACACCAGCACAAGATTGGACCGTTATGTTCCATCTGACCTAATTCACAAGGCTGTTTTTTTTTACCCGCTTAAGAAACGCCATTCCATGTTGAATATAATTTACTGATTGATCCTGAATAACTAGACAGTTTTTGAAGCCTGTAAGTCATGCCTACCGCAAACTCGTCTGTCTTGAAGCAATAGGGGGTACTTAATTTATTCATTGTATACGGCCATAGAGCTCTGATTTCATGCACTCGGAGCAACGCGACTTTTAAACACTATATTATTGTGTCCCCTTGTGTTATAGGATAGGATATGAAGTAGTATATATCTCGCATGTGGATTGTGTTACAGATCAAGTGACAACGAGCTCGAATTCTAGAGTGCCAAATGGAAATGTCGGAGCATGCTGGTCTGTGCATATTTCTCATGGTACAAACGCCAGGCTTATGTTTTATTCAGTAGAGGTTACAACAGTTTAATGGTATATACTAGACTGCAAGCAGTCTCTGTTTCACATATCACATTGAAAATAATTTTTTAAAAATCCCATTTTTTTAAAAATATTTCTTCCCTGTCTTGTTCCGAAGGTAGGAACACCTGTGAAAAAATATTATTTAGTTACCTTTGTTTGCTTGCTTCTTTGTTTTTTTGATACCCTATTCGTTTGTCTGTCTGACTGTCTGTGGTGGGACAAAGGGGCTCCAGTCTTCTTATCTCCTGACTGTTGACCAGCGTCGCCAGGATCCGCTGGTCGTGGGTTCGAGTCCCAGATTTGCTGTGACTATAAATGTGGGCTTCTCAAGAACATGGTCGTAATCGTAGGATTAACCTTCTTTGTAATCAACTACGATATGCATCAATTTGGGTTTATAACCCATATCTCTCGGACACAGCAAGAAACCTAATCTGGTTCTCGGCTCTCTTTACGCGTCGTCAACTTGTATATTCCGATATGAGAGACGGGGTCCAGCTTACAAGAAACCCAATTCATTCACACACGGTAGTGAATGCACGGCAACGGTCTTTTAACGGAGTGGGTAAGATCTGAAGAGCTGTAATAAAGGGGGTGGTAACCAAAACATTAAAAGATCTAGACACCTGAAGATAATTTACCAATAATACAGATGATCTGAATAAAAAATTGTCACGAACAAGAAGGACAAGTAAGACATTATTGAGAGGAAGATATGTCATTTTACGCCGCACTCACCAATATTCAAGCCGTTTCATGTCGGCCTGTAATTTATTGACCAGACAAACCAGTGATTACATTACAATCAATGTCTCACCCACTTCCGACAAGCAATAGACTGCTGGAGGCCGGGGTCCCCACGGGACTGGGATATTATATCTGTTTCAATGTAAATCAAATTAAAATCCCAACCAAATCGGTTTCGTCACTTCTGGGACAGTCTTAACATTGACTTGTCACTTTCTTTTAGTGAAACAAGAACAGCAAGGAAACTCAAAGAAAGCAGATTATACTGTACCCTTTGTCCACACATACCAAGAACCGACGCCGAAACGAGCTTTAAGTCGATTACCAACCCTCCTGACGGAGGCTAAATCATGCTTCTCCTAATGCCGATTTTATAGTTTGAAAGGGGGCGTTAAATAACTGTTCGCTCGACAGAAGCGCCTGTCTGAGACATGTTTATGACATCATTATGTTCATTCTCTAACGAGGGGGACATTTGACTATGGTTTTATCAAGTTTGTAATGACTACAATTACCATGCGCCTCTTAAGTTTGACTGAGTTTGTAAGAGTTTTTATCAGAGTCCTGAAGAAAAGGAAGATGATTAAGCATGTGTAAATGACGTCAGTCAGTATAGTTTTTCTCTGCTTTGGCAATATTCCATCAATATCAACATCTGATTATCTTTGTTTTGCTTGTTCGATTGCTGTTTAACTGGGCACTCCATATTCAAGCTATATGATAAGTAATCTAGGCCGGACCAGACAGACCAGTGATCAACATTATGAGCAACGATCCACGCCGCCGAGATACGATAATACTGAATGAGGCAGGTCACGGATATTGACCACTTGACCCATTAGGTCGCCACTTAATACCAGCCATTACAGCTTGATAGGAAGCTATTCAGATCCAGAATTCATTCGGATTATATTGGTATCGAAAAAAAAACATATTCTTCCATGGACCTAGCATTCAGTACTGGAAACACTGAGTCTCATAATTTCCTGATTTTCGTTATACGAGTAGGTAGCCATTCCATAGGATGCTATCTCGAAGAAAAGTTAGGCGTGCGCCAAAATGTGTATTATCATATATAGTAAGGCACACGCTAATTACTACTCACGTGTGATTGTTTGTATACGGTCTGATTATCCGACCGGCTGTGTTGATTGTCGGATTAACGAATGTTTTTACAATGTATTTACAATAATCAGTTGCTAGATTGGTGTGTCGGAGTCAGAATGCGAGAATGTCGGATTAACGAGAGTAATTATCACTGTTTTAAATGGTTCCCTAATTTTTGGTCGGATTAACGTGATTGTCGGATTAATGAGTGTCGGATTAACGAGAGCTGACTGTAGCTGCATAAAAACATTATTTATCTCTGTGTATATTTCATATGATATAACTTGTCTGGGACAAAAGTGTAAATCGTTTCTACTGACAAGGGGAATGAAAGACCGAGGCGTTACTGTTCTATTGTACCGTGTGAAATTCAAATCATTCTTTTAAAAAAGTGTTACTATGAACTGAGTGTCGTGTTTGCGTTTATAATTACCTGTATGAAATACAACCCTCCCTGTCTGCTGTATGTTGTAGAAAACCTGAGGTATGATCAGTTCTGCGAGAAGATACGAGAATTATTTGGATCTGACATCAAGAACCAAGATTTGAAAGCGGTCTACAGGAAGATCTCCACAAACCCGGATGCCAAGGTTGACTGGAGCGAGGTAAGTGAAATATTCGTATGCCAGAAAAAAAAGCCTTAAATCAACCGTTAGCAATGATCCACGCAGCAGGGAGGTAGTGACAACAGACCTCCATTGTACTAGTTACTTCACAGTTACCAAAGAAGACCGGCTTGTACTGTAAGGAGGCCTCGATTCAATCAATTTAGGATTGCTACACAGTTGTAGGTGGGCAAACTCATAACGTCAGAGAGATAAAGGATGTTGATTGCAGTACACAAACATAAGAACAAGAGTGTTGCCTGCATAACAAACTCTGTCATGTAAACAGCTGGATTAACTTATCTTACGAGAGGTGACAGTAAAACCTGGTTCGTTTAAATAATGATAAAACAGACGCTCAGAAATACAGTTACGTTATACAGTTTCAATATCGACATATCAGAGACAATATTTTTTCCTTGCATGTTGAATTATGTACTGTAGTAATGAATTGAGACTTAAGGTGAGGATATCGGTATCTTCAATTGAGACATTGTCAACGCCTTCATGTCATCTGACAAGTACATCAGTAGTTAGCATTGTGAGGTGAGGTGAAATTGGGTTTAACGTCGTGCTTGAGAATATTTCGCTCATATGACGACGTGCATGCGTGTGTATGTGTATGTGCAGCTACTTGTACTAGCCCAGACTTAAGCTGGTTTTATAGTGCTAGCCCACTGAGATACCATGCCGCAGTGAAGCATGAATACCCCACTCAGACACATTATACTGACTCCGAGCCGACCAGTCCTTGTTGTACCCATTAATGCCGAACGCCAGGCCGGGACCATCAAGTATTATATTTAAACGTCTTTTGGTATGACGCGGTCGGGGATAGAACCCGCGACCTTCCGCTCTCCGGGCGGACGCTCTAACCACTACACCACGGAGGCGGTCAGTTAGCATTGTAACAATACATGTTGTAGTGACGTGATACATATCTTGACAGTACAGCCGTGATAGGCTACACTACGGGATGAATGAAACATGAAACCTTTCATGAAAAGGGTTTGGTTATATCACCAAAGAGAATTATAGATATTCAGCAAACCTAGTAAAACATCGATAAATAGATCTAACGTTAGTGAGAATATACCATGAAATAGTCTTTTATCGATATTGTTTAAAAGTCGACATCGACAGAGGTAGAGAGGTGACGAACTGAACGTGTCAATGATGGACAGGAACAACCGAGAACACGTTTAACGGTTGGGGAAGAACTGAATGATTCTGACACAAAATGGTATTTTTCCTCTGTCGTAGCGTTTGCACTGTCGTAAGTCAATGTCGTACACTACGATTGTCAAGTAAAACGAAGCCGATATTGGCCGTCGTGACCTTTCTGCTCCTGACATTTTATCATTCTCCAAGTGTGGTGATCACCTCCGTGGTCCAGTGAATAGAGCTTCTCGTTTTTGAAATTCATAAATCGCGTTAACGCCCCCAGTGCATGTTACACCCATTTAACATGTAGACATTGTGTTTCGCCCAGCTGTTCGGGTACTTCCAGTCTGGGGTGGAAGAGGAAGAGATGACGGTGGGGGAAGAGGTCAGCGTCTTCATGGTGTCCAAGAGGAGGAGAATAGGAGAGGCTGCAGGTACGGACATATTTCATCTTTTTATAATCTAAAAGTATATTTTAAGATCATGTGTTTCTTAAATTTCCTACGCTAATTCGTCATTTGAATGTGACATCACACTGCCCATTGTTGAAAACATTTGCATTTCTTAAACGCCTGTGAAAGAGTAACATATTTGAGATACCTAGTATCAACCATGTGTGAGGTCGAATATGATGTTATTGGTTGGCTGCTCCATGGAGATGACCTGAGGTCATATTTTGACGGACAACTTTCTTGATCTTAGCTGACCGCCTCCGTGGTGTAGTGGTTAGAGCGTCCGCACGGAGAGCGGAAGGTCGCGGGTTCGATCCCCGACCACGTCATACCAAAAGACGTTAAAATATGGTACTTGTTGGTCCCAGCCTGGCACTCGGCATTAATGGGTACAACAAGGACTGGTCGGCTCGGAGTCAGTATACTGTGTCTGAGTGGGGTATTCATGCTTCACTGCGGCATGGTATCTCAATGAGCTAGCACTATAAAACCAGCTTAAGTCTGGGCTAGTACAAGCAGCCGCACATACACATACACACGCATGCACGTCGTCATATGAGCGAAATATTCTCAAGCACGACGTTAAACCCAATTTCACCTCACCTCACCTTGATCTTAGCTCTTTCATTCGTTTCTCAAGCTTCAGTAGAATGAAACTCTTTGTTAGAATGTAACTCCATCGTTTTAGAGTGTTTAATATGTACCTTCAACTTGATCGGTCGCACCAGATGTGAGTTGTTTACAGTTACATGGCTGACGTCAATTTGTATTAATGCGCCAGTACGATCTAAATATGTAGTTATTCGATGACAAATTGGTGTAAAGGGAAAGATTACTCGTACCTGTCATATACCATTTTTCGCCTAAACCGTTGTTCCAGAACGTACCCAATACAATCAAGATGCTGTATTGGTGAGAAGAAATTCCGTTGTGATATATTTAGGCCACGTATTGGCGAAGGTATCTCAATGACTATTTTTAAGTGTCGACTTAAATACAAAGTACTTAACTACATTATTAACTACCATAGTACCACTTTATTCTCAATTAGAGCACGGAATCTGAACACGCCACTGTGCTTTATACACAAGGGAAAACTAACAGCACTTACGCATTTTGAACTGGAGTATGATTAATTATTTCTGAAATGATCCCAGTGCGCCCCAAGAGACCCCATGTTCGACTGAATGAACTGCATAATGCCTTAACATCAACTTTAGACGTTCCGACGGAGCCAAGGGACTTTGCATTGAGTGGCGTGACGCAAGCGCCCAGTCTGAGTGGCAAAACACATTGTGTTATGTGAGGCGCAGTTGTGTGTGCGACGCCCCTGTCCCCGGACATCACTCAATTACCTCGCATTATGAATATGATAACTGAAACAATCAGCCCCGATTGCCTAACAAATCAAGTCTGGAAGAAAGTGGATTAAGTCCTCCACAACCTTCCATCTATAGCTTGATTTGGAGCCACTCAAGCATGAAATATCAATAATTCTAAATGGATTTATAATGGTGCCTTTAATATTGCAAGCGCCCTCGCCGACCCTTGCTGTGACATAAATGAACAATGAATGCTCCCTTCAGGGCCGAGTTAGGAGGCTTGGTCGCCATTTTCTCGAGTCTGCGCATTAAGCAGCTATTACAGTTCCCCGTGCCAAAGCTATTACCCCACTCGGCGTGATGTCCAATACGAGATGGCGATTAGTTCCGGCCCATGGGTATTTCCTTCGACACTTTCTTGTCCGAGACATCTGGCTTGGCTTGACAAATAGTTTTTGCGCGTGTCTGCACGTGCACTTACATTTGTCCAGCAGCTTAGCGGAGTTGTCCCCTCTTGGGACGCCCCTACAATTGCTAGCGTCGTCTGGGATGCCAGGGGGCTGACATTACGAGGGCTCTGTCTCCGTCTAGAAGCAATCGTGTGAATTACCGAATGTCTTATTTTCTGATTATAACAGCGCTGAAGACCTTTGACATTTTAATTGTGTATGTTTAATTCTGTTAGCCAACAAATTGTCAGAGCAGTAGCTCCTTCATCAAGAGCTGCGAATGTTAGCATGGCTGAACTTTGACGCCAAAGTTATTTGTCATGCTGGGCCTTGCTATTTAAAAGGACATAAAGAAGTCTGTCCCAGCCCTACACTGTGATGGAGAGGAAAGGAAACAACTTGAATGAGAGTGCGTGTGTTTCTTTAAGAAATCAATTGGGAATTTCAGAGACATCAGTATTGACTCACAGTTTTTAAATATATGTTGAAAAAAATGAAAACAAATTTCATTCCGACTGACCCATACTTATACAAGTGAATGAGTGTGTCTGGTTTTGCGTCACTTTAAACGGTAGTTCGTTGGGATCAGGACGTGACATTTTAACTGACATCAGTAAAGAGACCAAGGTGATACTTTGTAGAAACCCACCAGCATGTTATGGTGCTGACAATTCACTGCCCTCAGTCAGGGACAAACGTTGCTCCGAAGCCACAATCAGCAACTCAACTAAGGGACATAACTCTGCACAGCGAACTACAGTACCTTGGACACGGATACAAAACACGAAATAGGTTCAGACGTTTTACGCATATGGGGTATCGAACCCATACCTTCAGTGTGGCGAGCTGAAGCTTTAAAGGCACAATGTCAAACCACATTTCTCTGAAAATACATAATGCACTTCTCTCAATAATACTATCAGCCCTCAGGGAAGCTTCCATATAATTTGTTCCCAAAATAATTACGTATTTACATTACAAAATCAAATTAAAAAGTTCGAATGAATTAATGTAACATTGCATTAAATCGACTCTCGCGCCTTCTACCGGCCGAACATTATTACAAGAGTTATGTCCCTTGGAGCGCTATTTACGAATATCCTATAACCCAACATGTGATTGAGGCCATTCGGCAAACACCGACAACACCGCGTGCGACAGTTTTCGATGTACGGAGCAATCGTTTTCATTCCATATATGGCAAATGTTATCTGTTTGGAAGCTGTTCGCCTCGAAGTTTCAATTATCGATTCCAGGCAAGTCGTAAGGCATAATAAGTATTTTAATGCATCAATAGGAAGCTAAACTGAGTGCATATGCCCCCAATATATAAAATATAGGCCAATATTGTCGAAAATGCGTGGCATTGTGCCTTTAATCACTCGGCTACTCCAGTAACCGAATGTTAACAGTAAACACCAAACTGCTATCGAGGAATCTGTTCCAGATGAATTAATCAATTGACTGAACAGATACATTTTGATGTTTAAATGATATTTTGCTCGTAAAAATAAGGTTTTAAAGGTTAAATACTATCTAAAATGATGCCATCATGTTCAAGGTGATGTGAAAAACGTCTTTTGAAAATTGTTTTTACTCCTGATTTATAACCACGTTTGATGGGATATTCCTTTTCCTGAAAATTGTTTACAAACCCGGTGGGGAAAAAATACAATTTAAAAAAAATTATATTCTTATTTTATGACTTTTCAGGTAAGCGGTTCCGTAATCCATGTAATAAAATTACGTTTACCCACTTGACGTTTTCGACAATGTCAAGGTTGAATGACAATGAACCGCTGGGGTGATTTACTGTACAGTAATTTACTGCGATCAAATAGCCTTGTTTTATTGTAGACGTATTGTAAAGTACTTGCATTGGAGTCCCAGGTTTTCAGCATTACAGTTATTTACAAAGGCATTAATTACCCCGGTGTCGTTTATCAACAAGATCTTCACCTCTGATTTATGGTGAACCGCTACACCCCTAAAAGTGCTGAGAACCCATTGGCTCGAATAAACCAACATACCACTGCCTGCAGGAAGCACATAAACACCGTCCATGTATTTAGCTCAAGGGGCTAATATTGTAGTCGAGTATCTCACAGGCGACAGAACACTCCTCCAGCATAATGTGAAGGCTTGTGTTGTTGACACGGGTGAGAGAGTTCACATTGATGTAATAAATCTGCTATCTGTGCGTCTCTGTGTGTCCGACCCCGGGACTTGACGTGGGGTCTTTGATCTATTCACAATGGCGGGTACCGTTATACGATTACCAACAGTTTGCTGACTGGATTTATATAATTATATTTTGCATCAGCAAAATGTGGGATATGAACCGTTCACTTAACGGCCTTAACGGATTCTTGTATCTCTTGGACATACCAGTATGTAATGAAACGAAAGAAACCGTAACATTGTTTCATTTACAAATTGAAATGCGGTACTTGTATGCTGAAGCGATAAAGTGAAGGAGTGAGTGAGTTTAGTTTTACGCCGCACTCAGCAATATTCCAGCTATATGGCAGCGGTCTGTAAATAATTGAGTCTGGACCAGACAATCCAGTGATCAACATCATGAGCATCGATCTGCGCAATTGGGAACGGATGACATGTGTCAACCAAGTCAACGAGCCTGACCACCCAATCCCGTTAGTCGCCTCTTACAACAAGCATGGGTTGCTGAAGATCTATATTCTAACCCGGTCTTCACGGGTGATAACGTGAAGGAGCACACGGTGACTTGTTTGCTTGTTTGTTGTTTTAACCATCCTCTCAGCTGTATTCCTATCATGTGTGCATACAGCAAACCAATGGTTGATAACACGTGCAACGATCCGGTGACGTTTGCAATCAGTCAAGCCACGGAGTCTGACCATAGATCTGTAGGGGATTCATGAGAGAGGTACCAGATCAACGGTCAGTGTGATTTTCATGAGATTGATCTTTATAATATGTCGTTATTTCAGAACCTTTGTAATCAACAACACAACGACGTCATAGTGTTGTAGCAACGACTTTTGAACATTACCCCAAGGAATGGTGTCTGTGGAACCCATTTGGCCAACCGCAAAGAGGTCCAAATAAAATTGGTCCATTTGAGGCCACTTAATTCCTCCAAATAAAACCATTCAAACCCACAGAACGTAAAATATTTGGTAGACTATTTGGCAATTTTTGAGCAACTTACATTGACACTTCCACTTGT